TTGAAAATTTAAAAGCAAACAAAACAATTCAAATAAGTCTTAAGCTTATCTAACCAAGACGCTTCGCGTTCTTCGCTAGTGCTGTACCCACCTTTCCTCGTCCCAAACAAACGATTTTTTTTAGCCATATCGCCTTTCAGTAAAGTAAGCACTCGAGCATTTTGTTTCGTTTCGTTTTTTGTTTTAGCTTTTGAATTTTGGCAAACGACGAAACGCGACCAAACGTGTCACGAAATTCAACTATCGAACTTCATGGCCTGTGTTTTAGGTGTTTTTCCTTCTGCCTCTTTCTTACTTTCACTGGACGGATCTCCCCAGCATATTCTTAACTAAAGCGACGAAGCCGCGATAACGACTGCCAAAACCGCGTTAACGAGTGGCGAAGCCGCGAAGAACCTGGGGGAGACACAACTGAGAAACCGCCGGCACGGATGACCGGCAGTTTTTGTTAGTCTAGTACGCTGGCGTCCGGGCCATTGCCAGTGGATCAGAAGGCTAATTCATCGGTCATATTTTCGCTAATCTCCTAAAGGACAGCCCTAAGGAACAACATTGATTACAACGCAGATCTTTGGCGTGTAAACAGAAAATAATTGAGAAAGCGTTGTCGAAAGCGTTATCGCGCCTGAAAATTCTTCGCGAATATCGCGAAATTGTTAACTGCCAAACACGAGCAAGAAACAGCCGTAAACAATTTGCCTCATGGGAGAGATGTGATGGCCGTTTTCCCAACAGGCAAAGCATGATTTTTACCGTGTTTCTCTGTTTGCGCTCACAAGAGAAGAATTGCCGTCTACGAGAACCAGTATCGTTGTTGTTTCGCTGTTAAAGAGTATAATCGACGACCAAATTTCAGAAATATCATCGCTGAACTTCACAGCAATGGAACTATCGTCTGATGTTTTATGTCCTTTTCTTGTTTGAGGACTTCGATCGCGGCTTGCTTCACTATCTGCAGGCTCGAGTAGATGAAATTATGAAGTTCAAAAGCGTTTCTCATTTTGCGCGCACAGGCATGGCACACACGATCAGATGATTGTTTTGATAGACTCTACAGTATCATAGTGACTTTTCTCTGACAAGTTGACTGGTAGTTTCTTATTACGATCTATGCTCTGATTTATAGCTGTGTTAATACGATTCACAAAACCTGTCATCGGGTTGTCAAAATATGTAATAGGGGGCGGCAATAAAAAAAAAATGCGGGTAATCCAGGAAAGCGGTTCCTCGCAGCTTCGCCGCTTTGTGCGCTCGCGCTCAAATTGCTTTAAAAAATTGCTTAAGCCGCCAAGCTACGCAGGCTAGCAAGTGTTCGTTGTTGTTGTTTTTCAAATTCGGGCATATAGCCCTCAAGCTCCCAGTAGTCGTGGCAGTAGTACAGGATTAAATTGCCATTAAACAGTAAATGGAAACTTAAGACTTTCGTCTTCTCCTAGTGCTACTTCTTTTTTTATTATTATTATTTTCTTTTTTCTTTCTTCCTAGTGTTACTTCTGCGGCAGAATTTATTGAAGGAACTTATCAGGACGATGGCTATGGTGAAATATTTGTGCAGACCGCCGTTATTTACTTTTGGACTGCGTCGCAAGTCTTGAGAATTGATCAACTTTAACGCAACCCTCACCTCAAAACTTAATCTACAGTGTATACAAGTATTAAAGCAAGCTCTTTGCCACTACTCAGAAGGTCAACAAACGTATCTAAACGGTCGAAGAAGTATTTTCACCAGCTGCAAGGGTTATGCAAATGAGCTTTGACACGAGCGATGTATACACTGACTGTGGCAGATTTTAATCTGTTCTCGCGTGCAATCCAATTTGAACTTATAGACTTGGAGAATGGGTCACACTTGTAAAAACGGTTAGAATTGGAAAAATTGGTCACACTTTAAAAAAGGGGACACACTTGAGAAAAGCATCACACTTGGAAAAATGGGTCACACTTGGATAAGTGGGTCACACTTGGAAAAATGGGTCAAACTTTGAAAAATAGGCCACACTTGGAAAAATGGGTCACACTTGGAAAAATGGGTCACACTTGGAAAACTGAGTTACACTTCAAAAAAAATGGGTCACACTGGGAAAAAGGGTCACCCATGTAATAATGGGTCACATTTAAAAAAATGGGTCACAGTTGGAAAAAAGGGAGACACACCTGAAAAAAAGGGCCAGACTTCCAAAAAAGAGTCATACTTGGAAAATTGGGTCACAGCTGGAAAAAGTTTCACACTTGTAAAAACGGGTCACATTTGGAAAATAGGTAACTTTTTTAAAATAGGGTCACACTTGGTAAAAGTGTTCACACTTGGTAAAAAATGAGGACACACTTGAAAAAAGAGTCACACTTGTAAAAATGGGTTACACTTGATAAAATGGGTCAAACTTGATGAAATTACTTGGAAAAATAGGTAATCCTTTAAAAATGGGTCACAATTAGAAAAGTGGGTCACACTTGAAAAAATACCTCACACTTGGAAAAAAGCGGTTCACACGTGAAAACAAAAATCACACTTAGAAAAATGGGTCACAACTGGAAAAAAGTTCACATTGATAAAAATGGGTCAAGCTTTGAAAAATGGATCACACTTATAAAAATGGGTCACTTTTATAAAAATGGTACACACTTGGAAAAATGTGTCACACTTGGAAAAATGGTACATTTGGAAAAATGGGTCACACTTGGAAAAATGGGTCACACTTGAAAAAATGGGTCACACTTGGAAAAAAGGGTCACACTTGTAAAAATGGGTCACACTTGAAAAAATAGGATACACTTAGAGAAAATGGTTTACGCTGAAAAAAAGTGGACAAACTTGGAAATAAGGTTCAAACTCAAAAAGTAGGTCACATTTGGAAAAATTGGTCTTACTTGGAAAAAGCTGGGACACCCTTGGAAATAAGGGTAACACTTGGAAGAATGGAGCACCCTTGGAAAAAGTATCACACTTGAAGAAATGGCTCACACTTGGAAAAATGGGTAACACTTTGGAAAAAGAGTTACTCTTGGAAAAATGGGTCACACTCGGAAAAATAGGTCACATTTGGAAAATTGGGTGACACTTGGAAAAACGGGTCACTCGTGGAAAAAAGAGTCACACTAGGAAAAAATGTCACTCTTAAAAAATGGGTAACACTTGGAAAAATAAGTCATACTTGGTAAAATGGGTTACACTTTGAGAAAAGAGGACGCACTTGAAAAAAGGGTCAAACTTGTAAAAACGGTAACACTTGTTTAATTGGGTCACGCTTGGAAAAATGGGGCAAACTGGAAAAAATGGGTGACACTTGTAAAAATGGGTCACACTCGGAGAAAAGGTCACACACATAAAAATGTGTCACACTTAGTAAAAAAGGAGGACACACTTTAAAAAAGGGTCACATTGTAAAAAGTGGTCACGTTTAGAAAAGTGGGTCACACTTGAAAAATAGGTCACCTTTGGAAAATTGGGTCACACTTGGAAAAATGAGTCTCACTTGGAAAAAAGTGTAACACTTAGTTACCCGGACGATTAATTGCTTCTGGAAATTCGACTACGGTATGGGAAGCTCTCATATGACCCTGATGATGTGTTGACGAGAACCACTGGGTGGCGGCCTCCGAAAGAAGTGAAAGAAGATCTCGAAAAAACGGTTTTGTTTAACACCTGACACTAACGTGGCGACAGCAGCTCGCGGAAATAGAACTGTTGTCATTCAAAGGTGGTGACGTTGTGGGACTATGCATTGCACAATATTGCGATTAATACTGTCACATTCTTGCACTGGGAAGAAGCAAGTGTAAAGAAAAAGTTCAATGTGAATAGTTTCAATAGCGTGTGCTTTAGGAAATATCAAAGGAGGTAGGACGCGCCACACAACATCAACTGACTTTTCCAAGAAATGAAAATTATCAAAATAAATCAACGGATACTAAAAGGATCAAAAATATAAAAGTTAAAAAACTGGTAAAACCAAAGCTTAGAAAAACATGCTACGTTAAAATATGGTCGCCATAGGAACATTACGTTCTGTAAACAGTGGTCAACATACCGAATTCTTTCCATTTAATTGACAGAAACCTTGGTAGCACTAGCGTTTTATTTGAAAGGTAAATATCGTTTTAGGGCCTCCCCCCACCTCGTTTTGAACAGGGTTAATACTCAGATCCTCGTAATATAACTTGGTGAAGAAAAATGACTGCTTTATCCACCAACCTTGCGGTCTACATTTATTCGGTAAAATTAAATTAATCATATGGATTCTATAAATAATCCAATTTATATAGAGCTTGTAAATTTTCCGACATAAAAACAGCCACTAAGGCTTGGAAGTCTTGACACTATGACGTTAGTTCTCAAGAAGATGCAGTTGGTTGCGTGTTTGACATATTTGAACCACTGCACTTGTGTTTCAGTATTAACTTGCGTAGGGAGGCGCCGAACACTCTACCTCACCTACAATATGATCTACAACATGTTGCAGCTGGCCGTTCGCGTCAGAGATAATGAAGAGTTCTGCGTGATCAGTGTAACGGTTTTCCCGTTCAACATTTTCAATGACATATCGCGGTATCGTCCAGTTCGGGTGACGATATTCAATGTCGTTTGCATCAAGAGATACCTTCGTGGAGGAAATACAAGTTTTGAGCATTAAAGTCTCATTAGGAGCAAGTAATCCTCGCCATCTTTCCGGGATTAAGGAGCGACTATTTTGACGTTTCCACCTATTTGCAGCCATTCCAGCGAAGACAACTCTTTCCTTGGGGTCACAATCGACAAGGCCACTCGGTATTTTCTCTTCAGCTGGAATAGGAACATCTACTGTGTGCCTCAACTTCCCGCTTTCGTCCGAGGTAATGAACAGATCTCCATATTGAGTCAGCTTGTACTCCCGCTCAACATTCCTAATGATGTACCGAGGCACTGTCCAGTTTGGATAAGAGTATTCCACGAAGTTGGGATCAAGGCGCACCTTTCCATCCAAAACGCATGTTTTAAGAATCAAAGTCTGGTCTGGAGGAATAAGTTGTCGCCATTTATCCGGGATTTTAACACCAGCTCGTCGTTGATGTTTCGGGGGAATATTTTACAGCGAAGTCGTCTTTCATCTCTTCAGCTGAGAAAAAAGGACATTAGTTAGATTTTACCGAAAAATCAAACTAAATATCTGGATTATCGGATTCCCACACGGCAATCATGTAAAACACAGACCGTACACCGTGATTAGATTCACGTCAACCAGTCAAGCAGCCTAATATATCACCCTCAAAATGATATTTCTAACTGTAAGGCAGTGCAGTACCAATGATTATGAATGATGATGTTGTTGTTGTTGTTTTCCTCGCTGCAATCCAATGCAGCCAACACAGGAGAAATAAAGGAATGAACACACAGAGATGCCAATAACCACATTAGCCAATGCCCGCAGGGATGCCACTAGTCAGGACATACAAAGAAGAAAGGTTTACAGTAAAAGCATACAAAACCAACCCTTGTTTTCTGGATGGAATCTGACGATTAATCGAGAGTGGTAGAGCTAGTGACCATAGTGATTGAGTTACCTTTCGTATGCTCGGTCAAGGAGTTGGGGCGACATTCCAAGGCCTGCATCGTTCTTGGACTGATCATAAGCAGGCGTTAATGACATCTTATCTTTCAGCATGAATTCCACCGTCACCTTTGACTTTTCTGCGTAAAGAGAAAAAATTAATGGCGCGGTTTCTACTGCAGTAAAATTAAACCTCTTTTACAGTCAAGTTATTTTACATACAATTGAATATATGGGTTGTATTCCAAGCGTATAATGCAAGAAATTGAACTCTAAGTTTACGAATTTTTCGAGTCATTGCATGTAAGCGGCCTGAAATAATTTTTGTCACACGAATGCGCTTTGTCAATTGATACAAAAGGTTACACTTGTTTACAATACAAAATTGTGCAGCAGGAGCTTGCTAGCCGATTGGCCTTTTATTGTTTCTCTGGTTTTTTTTTTCTACATTCTACAGGCCATGTTGGCGGTGATATTCCGACAGACGACGACGCGTTGATGCACTGAGTCCACGTTTGCCTGTATCGAACCCTAACCTAAAAGTATACTGAAAGGCCTGTTAAATACCTATCGTGAACTATGGAAATCATCTGTTCCACGAGATTATTGCACTGTTTATTCCAGCTGTACATCTCAGCATAATGCCTTCGCACTACTTGGCACTCCTCCAGTCGATTTTGGCTTTTTTTCAGCCGAACATTCTTGATGGCCTTAGCCCAATCCTGTGGATCCTCAGAGTCCACCACACATGATGAACCATTTGGCACCTTAGCCAAGGCCTCCCCAAATCTAGGGTTTTGGCGGACCAGGAAAGGCAGACAGGCTGATAAGGCTTCCAGGGCAGTCAAACCAAATCCTTCTGTTCTTGATGGGATAATGGCAAGATTCGCCTCACAGAACAATTTGGCAAGATTTTCACGATTTTCTAAGTATTTTCTCACGGTCAGCTGACTTCGATGAAGACCTTGCTCAAGTAACTTCTCAGTTAATTGCCCTTCTCTTCCACTGGGAGCACCAACAAAGATGACATGATAACTTCTGTCGCTCAGCGCAGCGACAGCTTGAGCAGCAATGTCGAATCCTTTGAGCTCGAAATCTTCCGAGTCACCACGGCCAAAGACCAGAACTCGAAATTTAGTACCACCCTGTGTGGACTGCTTCAAATCCGAAAACTCAGTAAAGATTCCTGGTGTAAGATTAAAGACAGTTTTTCCACTCGAGTTGAGGCATGCCGAGTAGACTTCGCATAGTTTGGGACCAACTGCGACTACAAGATCAGCCATTTCACACAGTGCAACTTCAGTCAAGTGTTTCTCTGCACCTTTAGCTATAGCATCAGGGTAGGTTTTGTACATCGCGAGCTCTTCTGGGGCAGTGTGCACAACTTGCACCCATGTACACTGATGGGTTTCCCTATTTACCTGAGCTTGTTTCCCAAGCCTTACGCCATGACCAATAATTATGTCAATAACGAGATCTCTCGGTGGGAAACTCAAGCAGTCGATTGGCTCGTAACCAGGCCGCCGCTGTGTTTCGATGACAGTAACATTATGGTTACCAGCCCTTCTCTTGCCCTCTTCGCTGCATTTTGGAACAAGGAAACTGACTGCCACTTCTGGGTGTTTGGCCAGGTATAGAGCTATTTTTCTGTTCATAGTGGATAGTCCCCCCTTTAATGACCCCCATTCGCTTGCCAAAAGGAGTACTTCCAATTTTTTTCTAGTGCCAAGGCTCTCGTGATACATTATTTCCGTTGTTCCTGCAATTAATTCCAACAGTATTAGGAAATATTTGTTTTTGTTCAGAGATTTGCACTAAAGAAAGGGCGACGATTTGAAATACAGGAAAGGAAAGCATTGTCTTGTGTAGCTTCTCTATACAATGTCTTGCTCTGTCACAACAGTGCAATAGTCGACCTCGAAATTTTGGACTATTTAGTCGCGTAGCGTGCGAGATTTCGAGGGTGGGCTGCCCGAAAGCCGATTGACACTAATCCAGGACAAGAGATTATGATCCTGATCCTATTTTCTTGTCCAGGACTGAAAGGTGATGGTGGTTTCTCTTGGATATTTTAAAAAGTGAACGTCAAAAGTTGAAAAACATGCAGTTTCAAATGCAGTTCTTTGATCGCATGCTTCACTCGTAAGATTGTGTGAACACCTGATTGAAACAACGCTGTCCGAAGAAAAGTCTCAACCACAAGCGATACAACTTCTGAGAATTCTGGGCGGACAGAAGAAGCTTGCGCATAATTAATATTTCAGATTGTTTTCTCGTGTCATACAGTGATCTGGTCAGCTGCCCGAGGTAAAGCAGGGAAACTGTCCATGCTTTCCTTAAAGTCACTAAGTTAGATAACAAAGGGAAATTTAAACGATATGAGCTTCATGACGGGACGCACGGGGTTTCTACTGTAGGTACCGCAGAAAAATGGCAGGAAATGTTCCTAGCATTCCGTACATACTCTCACTAGGGTTCTTCGTCTTCCGGCCTGGGAAGGCGTCATAATCTGTTTCAGTGGCATGTCGATCATATTAAATAAAAAATAAACCAGAAAGGGCCGATGAAATATGAGACAAGCTTTAAAATGAAGTCACGAGTCATTCCCGATGCTTTCAAATGATGGCGGACTCCACCGACGCCAATAATCTGGAACAAAACAAGGTCATTATATATCGGAT